GTCTTCAATACCATAAAAATTTTATATGGGGTTTTATCTGCAGACGTTTCATGGGCTCTTGTCGATGAACTGCAGTTCAAAAGGCAATTGAAGCCTTGTGTTAGTGGAGTAATTCCCTTGCTTTTTTTAACTTTATATATTTATTTATATATTCATTCGAGCCCTAGGATTATATTCTGGTATCACGAAGAAACTAATCATAAGAAAACGTCTCGACGTCAGTTTTATTGTAAAATAAGCTCCGAAAACAAGAAAGAAAATATATTTTGCGACCTCTCTAAGATATCGCTCAGAATCACTGATGGAGTCATTCATAGAGCAAATTTATGACTATCCATCTATCTAAGAGCATTCTGGTTTGATGGCAAGTTTCATTTGATCAGCCTTTTCTTAATGGATGATCGATCCATCAATAAAAGTCATAGAGAAAATAAAATAAAAACTATATGAATTCTCTTCTTTCTACAAGAATGTTTCTTCATTATTCGTCGATAGTTTACTTTAAACGGTCTGATTGGCATACACTTCAATGTATGCAGTCAGACTTTTGTTTTGATGGGAAATGCAGTTCTGAAGTTTATTTATTATATTTTTAGCTCATGAAATTAAAGAAAAATCCCAAATACTGAAAAATTGCGGTTGACACCTCTTACACACAGACGACTCTAAATCTAGCCAAATGACAATTGGGTATCTAATCATAATGGTTTATTGGAAAATGAGCAAGCTGATCGTCGGCAAAATCTGCTGCTTTCACACTTCTAATTATGGACGATATCATGGAAAAGTTGGACATTCAAAGATACGTTGGATGTCAAGTTGAAGAGAATATTATTGTCTACTGGCAGCTGCTGTAACTAAAGGTGACTTACTTATACCAAGAACTATACATGCCACAGCAACAGTCCGCCGTGAAGTTAAATGGCAATAGTGGAGGTTGCCAGTGGCAACAAACACACGATGTAAGGCTGAAATGAGTAGAGCTTTTGAAAAGGCTTAACGACAATCTCGCTGTCTAACTTTTAACTTGCCCAACCCGAAAGGCAAGAGCTTACGATACCTCCATGAAGTAGAGTTTTGATCAGTCGGACATATGTTTATCTCGATTTCGATCGTCCTATATCCGATAGATGAAAAAAAATTCAAATTATAAGCAACATTTGATTATACTTCTAAGGGCCAAAAGAGATCAAGCAGCTAACAGAGGCCGTTATTAATGGAAGAAATTGTACATTTGAATGAAATCCAACAGTTATGCTAGACATATCTGACATATCTACTGACGATAGTATTTTTGAACCAGTTCGTAAGAACCGTCGATGCTTGTTATCAAGTAGTATCAATATTTATATGTCATATATACTTATGGACTGAATGTTCACTGTTCACTAATTTTAATTTGTTTTTTACAATGAAAATGAATGGTTTGTGTCTTATATATAAGTAAGATGGATTTCATTATTACTTTGGAAAAATATTTAGGACTTTTTTACATAAATTTCTAAGGACCGCATTTACCATGTACAAAAAGGATTGAGTACATTAAAAATCTTAGAATAGAATCTCCCACTCGAGGACACTATTCATCATGCGCGATCAATTGCCATTACAATTTCATTTCGTTCATTGTTTCTTCAACTTGGCATTTGCTTACTCAACATACTTAATATACACAAAACCTAAATAAAATGTTCTGAAGTGTATTAAAAATTAATCAATTCATTTTTCGCATCATTTTTCCAATAAAAAGTTTAATACTAGTTTAAATAGTAGGGTTTTAATGAATGAAAGGAGAGCTTATATTCCTAGGACAGGGGGAAGCATTTAAATTATAAACTTTTCATAAAATAGAAGACAAATGTAGTATAAATGTTATAGATATTATTCATATACATTCATATATACATATAATGTACAAAATTTATAAATTGGAAAAATATATTAAATTTACAAATTGAATGTGCCTTTTAGAGGTGGGAATATAAGCGAAAATTCATTGCGTTTTACAGACATATACTACTCTTTAAATCGTTGCTGATTAACACTTATTTGCAAATAGCCCGCGCATTCTTGTTAACATCACTGATATTGACAGGCAAGTCTAAGCAAAAATACTTAAAGCTTACACAATGGTGACGTTAAGCGTTGTCCGTGACTCTCGAACTGTCGAATCAAAATTGATTGTGCATATTTAAATGTAAATGACTATATAACTTGTGTCACATTTTCTCTTTTTTTTCAATTTGTTGGGAACGTTTGAAGAAGAGCATTCCATATATAGGCCTATATCTCCCGTAACAGTGTTGCAATTTCTTACGCAATAAATTCACACTCTTCAAAATTTTTTAGTTATTTCGAATTATTTGATGAATCTTTTCTCAAATTTTTAATTTTATTGACTTATTGGCTTTTTAATACTTAATGGTGACGAAATGTAATATTTCCCTCTAGTTGAGTTATATGCTGAAGTTGGTTATGTTCTCGCCAACGACAGCATACAAACGGTGGCAAACATTTAAAATTTGTGGGCGAGTTAACAAAACAAAACAAAATCATATGGTGGTTTATATTGCAAGCACAATATAATTTTATGGTGATCATATGCATTTTTATAAAAAAAAAGAGTACAAATTAACCTAAAGTATATAACCATCTATTTCTATATAATGGATACATGTGTAAAATATATCAAAATAAAATTAATTAATTAAAGGTAACGCAAGCAGCAAAATGAACCAGATGTTGAAAAAATAAGACATCAACTATATATATATATATATATATCTGTATATATAAAACATAAAGTGGATTTGAGACAAATTATATTAGAAACATATATATTTTTAAAGCATCATTCCTATTATTATGACCCAAATAATTACTAATTAATTATAAATATTATATTATTATCAGAAATAAATAGGGTTGTCTTCTCTTTTCAAGAAATCACTTCTTTTGTCATTCTTTCGTCTTTTGCTTTAAAACATCATTTGTCAAAGAAATTTTTCACTTTATCAATATTATGATTCCTCTTAATCGTTTATATAAAAAAATGTTAGCCGTACGATTTTGCTTTGTGTTCAACTGGTTTTGCATAGCTCGCAATCGCGCACAACGCATAGCGCACGCATTATGCTTGCACTTAATTCTTTCTTGCTTTCAATACATGGTGAGCAAAATATGTTCAATTGCAAAAAATTAAAATGCTCCTTATAAATCAAGTAAGTAAGTAAAGAAGTTGAATATTACTTTCGCAAAAACAGCTGAAAACGAAAGCGACACTTAAATTTTTCACATACGATTACCCTGCTGTAACTTATTTTACTCAAAATAGGCAACACAAACTTTCCGTATTCCTGCCTATCAAATAAAGTAAATTAATGCAAATACTTGGTTTTATTAAATTCAAAAGACCGCCTCTAATTTTTTTTTCTCTACTTTTATCCATTAAATATTTTTAATCAACAAAAGCGTAAATTCTATTTATATGGATTAAGTTTCAATAGTCTTTAAAAAAGAACATTCTAAGTGCTTTTCTGAATTATCAACAAAGATAATCTAAAAATTTGCGGTTGAACAATAAATTAATAAATTAATTTCTTTATTTTATATAAAAACATTAAAAATAAAACTTATGTAATTTTCTAAATAAATTTTCATTTCTCTGCAATATTTATTTAAACACACATCCAATTTATTTGCATATTATGTATCAATAATTTGCAAATTTGATAAATTAAACCAATATCACGGTGCTGTTATAAAATAACCTACAATAATGGGTGGGCGCGGTTGATTTTTTTTATTTTGAAAATAGAATGTACCTTACGAGTAAGAAGCCAACAACCCGAAGAGCATAGGTATTCACAGTTTTTGTTGCGTAGACGTGCGAGCGTTTTAGGCGCGCCTTTTAACAGGTTTTAGTTATTTTCAAATACTTTGGCGAATTTGTAGGTGATATTTTAATTTTTGCGAATTGCAGAATGATCACCACAGGTATTACGCAGTTGCGCAGACGTAAAAACGGACAGACAGACGGACAGACATGTTTAGGTTCACCCTGAATTTGAAACTGGTTAAGAATTTATGTACTTTATGGGTTTTTTTTTTGCTTCTGTCCGTTATAAGGGTATTAAAAAACTAATAAAAATTTTGATACTTTTTAATTTTCGGTAGGCGCAGTCAATTTTCCTTATTTTTGCATAGGCATTAGTGCGTAACCCACACAATTTACGTTCACATTTTTGTAGATTTATCCCCTTTAGTTTGTGAGTAATGAATAAAAACAAATTATTTATCTTTTTTGGAAAACCAAGGTGTATACTGTTTACGTGGTTCTGTGGACGCGTTCTTCGATCAATTTGGCCCATCTTCAATACCAATTTGCGTCCAAGCACTTCCAAAGATTTTACCGAATTTGAAGGCGAGAGCTTCATGACAGATGGATATGTTTAAATTGATTCACAATTTGATACTAATGGAAAATATATGTACTTTGTAGAGTCTCTGAAGCTTCCTTTTGAGCGTCGCAAACATTTGGAAAAAATGAACACAACCCTGATCGTTTGGAAATGGGAAAAAAAGTCTGGGGAAACGTACTTCAGATATAGTATTATTGATCGAAGGGAATTTTTACGTACTTTCTGATCCATACTATGTTACGATAAGTTTTTTTTTTTATGTGCCCAAGAGAGTAACACAATATTATTTAAAATAAGTTTACAAAATTGACTAGACAATATACGAAACATGTTGTTTAGAACTAGACCACGTTTCGGTTTGTTATTTTCACATTGATTTAATTTTTCCGCGAATTTGTAAAAATTATATTATAGCAACTTGTAGGTATTGGTGTTTTTAATATGTGGATATTGTGTATATACCCACACGTATACGAATGTATACACAACGAGTTAGCGTTGCTTAACGAAGAACAGGGATAGAATATGTTGATGAGAGAGATAAACAAATACAGTTAACAACGGTAGATGCGGCTTTTTCTTTTTTTTTTTTTTTTATAGAATTAATTTAAAGGAAATTTGTCAATTGTTGAAAATAATTTATTTTATATTTTATTAAAAAAAGAGAAACCTAAAATATGCGTGAAGGTGGCGAATATTCAGCAGTTGAAAATACTACAAATTATAAAGCAATACAGTGAGTGTGTTCATCCCAGCAAAGTTATCGCACAAATTATATGGCATAGATAATCATTTACTTTCCTTAGTTGTGAGAAGATTCCCGAATTATTTTTGGATAAATTAGTGGCGAAAAAGCATTTTAGTAAATTCGGCAAAATCAACAGATTTATATTGAGGCCAAAACGTTTCAGTTGCACGGTGGAATATGAGAATGAAGAGGATGCAAAATCTTCGGTTTTGGAAGCCGGCAATTTTAACGGCGTTGAATTTATAGTAAATTATGCCGCCCATGAAGTCGCTCATGTTCAAAATACTGAAGAATGGGTAGATCCTGAGGTCCAAGCTGAACTTGAAGCCATGGGCTCTGGTCCAAATTACTCTAATATAAATCGTACAAATAAAACTATGGCTCTTAGTAGAGCAACTACGCTAACCAAACCTATTACAACTAGTATCATTAAGCCAATCAAATCAAGCCAAAGCAACGAAGCAATAGGGTTCGACGATGATGTACCACAAATAGATTGCAGTGAATTAGAAGCTATATTGAAAAAACCGGCTTTAACGAATGAAGATAAATATCGTGTTTTAGAGGCGAGGGACAAATTGATAAGACTAGCTAACGTTAGACAAACAGATATCAAAAAAGCGGTGGCTACTCGTGGCACTTGCCCAGATATGTGCCCTGAAAAGGAGAGGTTAATGCGAGATTTTCAACGCCAGGTAAAACATTAAATTTTGTTTGCCGTTAAAGAAACATTTTTCTCAGAAAATGCTTTTAGGTATCATCTTTTGAATGGGCTGATGAAGACGAAGATCCCAAAACTACGATTTCCCATCGTAAAGCCATTAAAGAATATTCACGCAGTAGTGCTGATCAAGAATTTCCTTTAGCTCATGAATTGCGCTCTGAATCGGTCTTGCAGATGACTATGTTATATTTAATGCATCGCATTATGGATTTATGTGAAGATCCCCATATTTCTTTAGGTGATTGGTTCCACTTCGTTTGGGATCGTACGCGTTCTATACGTAAAGACATCACCCAACAAGAATTATGCTCTTTAGAAGCCGTAGAATTGGTAGAGCAATGCGCTCGTTTTCATATACATTGCGCAGCCCGACTCGTCGCCGAAGAGGTTGTCGTATTCGATAAAAAAATCAATGCCGAAAATCTTACCAAGTGTTTACAAACGCTCAAGTATATGTATCACGATTTACGTTTGAAAGGTATACAATGTCCACGCGAGGCTGAGTTTCGTAGCTATGTGATTATGTTAAATTTGGCCGATTCCAATTTTCTTTGGGAATTAAGACAACTGCCAGTACATATTCAAAAAGCTGAAGAAATAAAAAATGCAATTGCTTTCTGTAGCGCTTTGCAAACTGATAATTATGTACGATTTTTTGCCATGATTAAATCAGATCAAATTTCATACCTTAGCGCCTGCATATTACTGGGTTATTTTAATAAATTACGCTTACGAGCCATGGAGGTCATTATTAAATCACATAAATCTCATAAAGCGAAGGTGTTTCTACCAATATCCTATCTACAAAGAATACTAGCTTTTGAAGATGAAAATGCAACAATTAGTTTTCTTCATTATCTTGGCTGGCAGTGTAAAAAGGAAGAAGAAGGAGTATTTTTGCAACGCATAAATAAACCAGATGTGGAACATGTTATGGATAGGGCTTTAAAGGTGAATAAAAATCCTTCTGTTTTCCTTCCCTTGTTGTAATAATTTATTTTCTTCATGCAGTTGGTAGAATCTAAGCGGTTGGTCAGTGTGGGCGAATGTATTTCTGGCCATCCTTTAAATTCAGCGGAGTTATTTGAGAATCATCAGCCTCATAACAGTTTTGATCCAAATGGCTTTCTAACATCCGAGGCTTGGACGGCCGAGGATCAATTGAAAGGGGATTTTATTAAAAATAGGACGACATTCCACTTAACTAATCCAAAAATCACGCAAGACATACTGAAAACGTCAGCATTAAAATCTTCCACAGACGGCAAACTATTCAAAATTCCCTTTTCAACGCCACCAATATCACCGAAGCAACACAGACAACAGCAACACAAATCCATATTTCCCAACTCCGTTGCTCAGTCAAATCAAAATACATCCCCTGCGTTGGGATTTCAACTTGAAAGTAATAATGAAAACTTTCAAAGACCTTCTTCAATTGACAGCAGCAAGTTTGTTTTTAAAGTCAGCCCTGAAAAAGTAGCCGTAGCACATACAAGCATATTTGATCAACCAAAGCCTACAGAGAAAATTTTTGGATCGTTGACCAAGGATACGAAAGGAGCTTATAAGATGCATAATATATTTCAACACTTTAAACCAGAGGACAATTCATTGCCGTCCCGTTCATTTGAAGAATTCACTACCACTAATTTCGTGACCCATAAGACTGAGGAACAATTAAAGTTTGAAGAGATGGAACGGCATAAGCAGGAGTTGGAAAAGGTTCAAATTTTGCAACAGAAGAAATTAGAAGAAGAACGCCAAAAACTGGAACACAAAATGAAAATCGTAGAAGAGCGGAGAAATAGACAATTAAAGGAAAAAGAAGAAGAACGTAAAAGAGAACAAGAACGGAAGCAACTTAAATTAATAAGAGAAGTGATAGACCAGGCTTCGGAGCAACATCAGGAATCAATTGTCAATGAGATCGTGGAAACTCTGGTAAAGGAAGTGGCTTCCGACGAATTGCAAAAGTATATTAGTTTAAATAAAACTGCTCTTCAAGAACTCAATTTTCTCTTTGAAGAACTTGTATTTAATATTACCGAAGAAGTGGCCTGTGAAGAGTACGCAGTAATATGTTGTGATCAATTACTTTTAAAGAAATACTTTTGCCGCTGGCTTAAATATTCGCACAGAGAAAAAGAGCAACGTAAACTTTTGGATAATACTCCTTTATGGGTGACTAGCGACAGCCGAGCTCAGTGTACTGAGAAAGTGAGTCATCCCAGTCAAAAGCAAAATATGGAAATGATCAAAAGATATCGTTTGGGTATGTCCTGCGATTTTAAACAACTTCTATGGTCTGATTACTACTGGCCACATGATCGTCTAAATCTATTTGCATTAGTAGGACAAAATTTATTAATCCAGACGCCGACGTTGGGTCCGTCTGGGGTCTTACCTTCTATCAAATATTTTAAGCTGCTTATAAGTTTACCTAGCGACGACGAGGAATTACCGGGTTTTGAAACGTTTTGCAATAGATGGCTTATAAAACATATTCAAGGAACACAAACCGAAAGTGGACCATTTGTGCATGGTATTCAGCATAATATAGCTTTGTGTGTAAGAAAGTTAAGCGGCATTGAAGCTTTCAATGAACAAGGTGATCCCAGTAAGGAAGAGGCCAATCACAATGACGGTATCATCTTCTTTGTAAGTGGAATAAACTTGCGCTATTCCTCTCGTAAAAGATTACAGCACTTATTACAACTAGCGAAAAATTATAAACATGTACCATTAGCCATAATGGCTTATAACTGTGAAAATTATGATAAATTTAGCTTAGAGCAACACTTAGAACTGCAACGCTTTGTGGAAGAAGGCCTCATAGCTAATTATAAATGCTTCGGTTGTCAGTTAACCTGCCGAGAATTCAGTTTTCGTCATTTATTTGCGAAAGCCATAAATTTCATTACATACGATACGTACAAAACGAATAACAACGACGTGGAAGCATTGGCTGAGCAAAAGTTATTAACGTTTTTGGAGAGTTGTTTAGGGGAAGAAATATGGCGAAGATGGCTCGATTCTTCAAAGAAAAATCCAATATTTTATAAAATCTGCTCTATGCCAGAACATGTAATTGGAGTTTTTAATAAAGCCGTTGAACATTTGGAACATATAACTCAAGAGGATCTAATCGAAATGCCAGAATTTCCCAGTGAATTGAAAGAGTTTGTACCCGAACGACCGAATAATTCCGATATACCATTGGGTTTGGAATACTTCCCGGACAACTGGAAGGACTCACAACGTTTAACTGTAATAAAAGAGGTATTAGAAAGGATTCGTTTGCCTACAAGAATGAAAACATTTCCTAAAGATATAAATGCAGTGGATGTTCAAGTTTGGCTCTTAAGTTACACCTCCGAATGTCTACCGGAGGAGGATGATTATTATATTATTGAAATCGCTCATCGCGCCATAGGGGAACTTTACAACCAACTTAATTACATGAATGTACAAAAAATTGATTTTGAAAGTTTGCAGATGCTTAATTTCTTACAAATTTTGAAACCCATAGCACACGCTCGTATTAATTCCGTCTTAAAAAAGTTAAAAAAGGAACAATTGTCGTCACCTGTCATCTATTTACGCAATGATTTAGAAAATTATCAAATTTTACCGTGGTGGCTAAATTATCAGGCTTTAAGTCAAGTGACCGTAAATCAAATATCAGTACCTGAAGAAAATCTCCCCGTAAAAAATAACGAAAGATGTGAAATTTCAATGAATGAGGTTAATGCCATTATAGAAACGGCCGAAAAAGTCACACAAAAACTTGAAGAGAACTTACAAGCTGCTAAAATGCAAAAGAAAAGTTCCCATTATTCAAATAATACGACGAATATAGAGCGTTATCTCGATAAGACATGTTACCAGTTCGAATTAACAAAGAAAACTTTAGAGTTGGATAGATCGTATGTGCAGAAAATAAACCAAGATGTTGATGAATCAATAGAAGAGGTAGTAACACAAGCTCTTAGCTCTCCTAAGGGAAGGAAGCGCAAAATCAGTGAAAATCCCGATGATATGAAAATTGTAATTGATAAGGCTATGGATTTAATAAAACAAATGGATTGCTTAGAAGAAAAGAAGAAACGTTTGCGTACCTCGTCGTCGTTGCGCGGCGGATGCGGCCAGTTTCACCAATGAACGACAAAAATTATTACAATTACATTTCTACGTTGTTTTATATTAAGGTAGTGTTGTAATATTTTATTTTCATTTTTTATATTTAAGTATTTTATTTTCAAGCCGTTTGCAGGAGTATTATTATTATAATTTTTTTTTTCTTTTTTTAATTTGTTGAAAGTAACATTTGTATCTATTTGCGAAAAGTTTTCTCAAATTTTGATATGAATTTTTTTCGCTGTAATATTCTAAATATTTTTACTTTCAAAGGATGAAAATGAACAGAAATATAAAATGAGAAACAAATAAGTCTAAGGACGATCCAAAAGCGTGACATATTGACTTTTTTTGTTTACATATATGGTTTGGGTCCGTTGGGTCTGATAAGACCAATATGTCCAGTAGCCTGTAAAAACCTTTTACTATTTGTTACCTTAATTTTTTTATTTATTTTTTTTTTTTTTGCCTTTTTTTAATCTTAACATTATCATTATAATTGATTTAAACAGAAAAAAATCCAAACACTAAAGTCTTAAAGCCTTAACATGCGTCTGAGTTTATCGGCTTTATTGGAGACTCTACCGTACTTGAGTTCATGACCATTGAGTTGTTAGCCAGTTAGTCAATGTCCTTTGCCTCTATTCGACCACTTATTTTCTTAAGGTGGTTGGTTGTTGAGTTTGTCTTTGTTATGGATTATTCTGTTTTAAATTGATCGTTATTGATTGTGGTATTTTTTCAATTTTTTCTGCTTATTAAGTTATATACTGAAGTTATGTTATATGTATTAATCAACACCATAAAAACTGTCTGTAATCATGTCTAGATTTAAAATGAAGAGCTTTTCAAATTTTGATTTCGCCTATGCAATGAGATCAACCCTGCGTATTATTTCGTGCATATACTCTTTAACGTTGAATTCGTGTTTTATTATACCCTACACCACTTGTGGTACAAGGCGAATTAAATTAGCGCCGACGTATGTAATATGTAAAAGAGCTTAAAAGAGACACAGCTTTTATTATATCGATTCAGAATCGTAACCCGAATTGATCGAAGCCTGTCTGTCCGTCTGATGTCTGTCCATGTAAATTTGTGTTCAAGCTACAGCTCGCAATTCTTAAGACATTTTAATGAAATTTATTACAGTGACATCCTATGACCCAAAGACGATCATTGTTGAAAGTGGTTCCTGTCGGTGTACTTTTTTAATCAATTCCCACATACCACCTTATTCCGAAAAGCTGTTATATAAAAAAAAAAATTCAAAACTTAACGTCAAAAGTGGGTAAGTAGTAGTATTTTGGCATTCGACCGGCTGGGGCAATTTTTGAATCCCCTCTCAGATAATGAAAACTAAAGTCCATGCGACGAAAAGGTATAATTTTCAATCCTTCTTGACAAAAATCATATCATAATAGTAATTTAACATAAAAAAAGTAACTGCACCAAACTTGGACCATCTTGGCTTATTTTTTCAATACTAGTCAAATAAGAATTTTCACGAAAATTGATACTTTGTAATTGGTAATGAAAATTGACCCATAACAGCAATTTCATACAAAAATTAACTCTACAGGATTGGGCCCACCTACGCCTATTTTTGGATCATGCCCTATGTAAGGATTAAATTTGTACTACATTAGGTTGCGTTTTGGGCCCGCTTCCCCATGATGTCGCACTTGAAAAATATGCCTTTATATAGAAACAAGATATAACTGTTGTGTTCTATAATAAAAATAGGAATTGTGTTAAACAATGTGGTGTAGGGTATTGAATGGCCAATCTTGCCCGACTATAATGTTCTTACGTGTGACGTCTTTGTCTTAACATAAATTAAAAAGTTTCTATTAAGGCAAAAATCTTAAATATTCCCTTGATCGTATATGCAATTAACATCGGTAAATGCGATGTTACTTTCCGATAATAAAACCGCTTTAAACGTATTAATTTGCCGTCTCCTCCCGAAGGATGCAGTTGGCTTGGTTTGTCCTTTACTGTTTAGCTATTGGATGTGAAATATATTCTCCGGTTTTCCTTTATGGGTTGAGCATAAATGTCCCGTCTCGGTCTAGTAGGCACTAGGTTCGTATCAAGTTCTCCAATTATGAATTATTTCATTCGTTAAGCAATGCAAATCATAAACCGGGCCCTGGTTAACACAATAACTGGGTTATAAGCGCATAGCCCTCCCTAAAAGTTCATTTGACATGTTCAGTTTAGTTTAATTGCCGATAAGCCTGCTAGGCTGTTTTCGAGGCAAAATAGCTGACAAAAGCTTAAATTTGAATCACTATAATTAATTATACTATGAAAAATTAAGTCATAATTACTATAATAATTCCATTTTTAACCGGCTTCCTAAACCTATTTCCACTCACTCCACTACCTTTACCTTAATGTTCGAGCGGTCATGAATTCCAAAATATTACGGCATTAGTGAAGAATAATCTCGATGCTACAGAGTACTTAAGTGATGGACTTGATTTCAGTAAAAACCTTCCTTGATCAGATGCATAATTCTTATGGATATTTCTAAGAATGCACTTTCCAAATACAAACACGTTTAAACTATTCACATACGACTTTATTTTTCAATTTTCATCAACTTATACATCAAGCGTGCTGATGCTAATCGCTTTACCTGAAGATTTGATGACCTCCGTTCAAAATAAATGTAGAGAATTGAGAGTTAAGTCCAGCTAGATTAACAAATAAAGTACGTCATCATAAAGCAAAAAACAAAAAAAAAAAAGTGATAAAAATAAAACGTATTGTTTGTTGTTTTGTTCTATTATTCGATAACAACAGTGGATAATGAATTTTAGTTGATGAAATTCAAGTTTCTTTAAGCATCAGGCCACTTATTTATTTGATTTCTTTTGGCGCATTGTCAATGTGAGCAAATTTTGACAACATAATTTTTGGTTAAGCGCAAAAGTGTATACTTTGCAAATAAAATTAAACCTGGTTAAGTGTGAAAGAGAGACAAACAAAAATCCGATAGTAGTGTTGTTTTGTCTACATTTCATGTCGATACCACTGTTGTTATCTTTAAGCAATGCGTTTATTACATCTAAACTATTACTTGAATGTTGGAATTTTTTTTATATTATTTTAAGCATCATTTAAAGACAATCTCAAAAAATAAGAAGTTTTTTCAAACAAAGAAAAAAAAAAAAACATTGTGAAAGACAATAAAAATAAAAAATTACATGTCACAGACAACGGTTCTCAAACAGGGCCTACTAATTTATAAATTGCTTTACTGCAAATGATGCTGGGCTTTGCATTGTCTTAATGCTTCGTTGAAGCCCTCGCAGAGAGTTAAATCAGATTGGCCCTGAGCGCATTGTAGAAACTGTTTAATTTCCCAGGCACAAGGTCCTTGAGGTTCATTAGGCTGAGCGCTGCCACCAGCGTAGTATTGCTGATGAGCTGGTGCCGCTGGTGCAGCAGCAGCAGGAGCTGCAACCTCTTTGTCGCTAGATCCGCTAAACATACTGGTAAGACCATGACCTACAGCATGACCAACTGCGGAACCTACAGCGACGCCACCAGCGGTAGCGGCCATCTGCTGGAACATCGATGGTTGCTGTGGGGCTCCAATAGCAGCAGCTGGTTGCTGTACGGGTACTGGTGGAGGAGCAGGAGCAGCACGTGCCGGTACATTTGAGCTAGGATATGAAGGTGGTGGACTCCTAGAAGAAGAAGATAAAATGTATGGGATTTTCGTAAAGTAAATTGCGTTTACATAAACTTTATTACTTTCTCAATGAGGTTATGTAATCATATTAACAAATTTCACCATATTAATTCTTTACATACACACTCATGCACACATTGTCATCAAAAATATTCCAATTCTCGTGTTATTTTGCTAGCTTTTCATTTGATATCTAGAATTTTCTTCTACGTAATCCAATTTTCTCATAAGAAAAAATTTTTCAATTAAAACAATTAAAGTAGACTTACCTTCTGGTAGCAGGAGGTGGGCTGGCAGAACGTCCTCGTCGTACCATTTTGCTTAAATTTTTTCTTTTCTTTGGCTTTACTTAATTTAGTCTTTTTTTCTTTTGGAATTTTCTATTAACACAGAATTTAATTATTGAGAAAATTCTTTGACTTCTATTTCACTTCTGTTCACTTGCAATTTTCTTGCCTTTCTATAATGCGTTCATATCTTATTGAGATTTTTATATGAAATTTGCTTTACGAGAAATTTCTACTGTAAAATTGAATGAGATCGTAAAAAAAATGAGTAACAGAGAGTAAATATCGAAATAAATAACGGGTGTTACGAAAACAAATATTGCACACAATCAGTGTTGTATTTCATTAGGGTATTAAAAGAGAGAGACATATGAGTCATGAGAAACTAAGCAATATGTCGCCGAAATTTTTGCTACAAAAGCAATGAGGAGCATTCACATTTTAGATCGTATTTTTAGTAATTCGAAACATAGAAATAAATATTTATGTTATTCGAATAAGCGAATTTCATTATTTATGGTAATACAATTTCATTTGATTTGCCAAAATTTAATTTGTTTATAAATAACGGAACATCAGGAATATTTAAGAAGATGTAAAAATAGATTATTATGTTAAAAACAAGCAAAGAATAAAATTGCTTTGTAATTCAGAGATTCCTAATCGCAATAATATTCCTATCAACGACTGTGATCTCATCCAGAATCTCAACTTGGTCTAGAAAATAAACGCAATTTATACGTGAGTATCCATCCTCCAATTCATTAGGACTTATAGTATCCAGCTTTGGGCAAGAAGCCAGTAATTTTAATATCGAAATACTCCAAAAGTACCAATCTAATACTTTTTTGCTAGTGTCCGGAGTTTGTTAGCAACAAACCTATACATGATGACTTTGATTTTCCACAAATTAAAATTCGAATTCAAAGCAATTCTTCAAAATTTCTTGTCAGACTGAGTAATTAATTACATGCCTTAGCAATATTTCTTATTTGGGTGAATCCAATGAAATGAAAAGACGTAAAATGTGTCAGATACTCCATCTTCCGATTTAGAAATTAATTTATTTTTGTTTCTTACACTATTTCAATGAATTTTATATGGCGTTTTTTTATTTATTTAAATATCGTATCTGTACTGTTATGTTGTTTTCAATGTCGAACAATAACAGCTGTTATTTTTCTCATCTTTATATTAAAAAAATTTTTTTTTTGATAAATTATAAATTAAATATGTATGAAAAAAAAGAGGAACATAATCTTTCGTTTACTTATTTTATGTTCTAATTATTTTTTTATTTATTTTTCTTTTTCTAAGCAATAATGTCGTCGTAGTTGTTAAAGCCTCTTTTCTGAATTTTATGAAAATCTTCAAATAAATAAATTTTCCGAAAGCAATTTTGAATTGAAATTTTATTAAATTTTCCAAACGAATTACAAAAAATTACAAACGCCTAGAAAAATGTCACCTAAGAGGAAAAGTAAAATTTCAGCACTTTTATTTAATTTATATACAACTAATTCTATTTTTACACGAATTTGAATTAACACGAGTTAAGAAAAATTCTCTTTCTACAAGAATTGTTTTTTTTTTCTACTTTTAACACGATTTTCAATATTTTATGAATTTTTTTATAGGTTTTTCCGATGCATTTTTTTTATGTTTCTACGAATTTTTTGCATTCTTACTCCTCCTCAACAAGCATTAAGATTTCGCGTTATGTTTCTCATAATTCAGTTAGATTATGTCGATTATAAGTGTATATGCGTGAGATTTATCACTGATATTGTACTCTTACGTAAACGTACGCGTTTATTTTCAGAAAATAGCAATGCATAAAATATTGTGTATATTATTTTTACTTTTTTCATATTGATGAATTTCATATATTATTTTCTTCTTTTTCAAAGTGAAATTTATTTATTATAATATATTTAATAAATTAAAATGTCTAAGCTTGAAATAAATTCTTAAGTGAATTCTAACGAGAATTTTTCAATACTGTCTACTGTACTTTTCAACAGCGCTTTTAGGTCTAGAATGTATGGATCGTGTCAAAAGAATCTTCCAAATCTGTATCTTCCAAATCTTTTTTTGCTCGGTTGCTTTCTTTTGAAATAACACGATTCGCCAATAAGAAGTAAGTACATTTTTCTCTCCCAAAAAAATCCCAAAAAAAAAAAAAAAATTATTTTGCCAGTGTGAGTGACTTGGTCCACTACGGGGAATATCTAAATTTTATGACCTCTTTTTTCTCTAACTCGTTATAGTTCAACGTGAGCACAGTATTTCGTTATTAACGCGTCCAGTTCGGAGGATCAAAGCTTTTTAAATTCGGTAGGGAAATTTCCAATATAATTTGTATTGATGCGATAAAAAAGGCAATATTCCTTATTTGAATGAAACTCGACAGTTGTACTAGACATATTTGACATATCTACTGATCATAGCAGCTTTGATCGAGTTCGTAATAAACGTGCATGACTGTTCGTTGTACAGCATTTTTAACTCGTTTTTTTGCAATGAAAATGAATGGTGTTTGTCTTATGTATAAGTAACATGGATTTCATTATTATTTTTTTTTGTACGGAGTTTTGAGGAAATATGTATTTGCCAGCCAGACATTTTCAATTTATACTTATGGGTTTGCGTTTAAATTTCATTTTGGCCCTCGTTTAGAATATTTTGAATATTGTTAACGGAAGCGACCGATTTTCCATAAGAAATATGAAAATTTCTTACAGGCACACGAAGCAATAGTTTTAACTGCATTTTGCTTTCTTTCTTTTAGAATTTAGAATTACACAATTATATTAATTTTTTTTAGCGAAATGGAACAACGAAAGCTAAATTTTTATTTCTCGCAAAACTTTTTTGCATATCCTTAAACTATACTATAGTATTTATATTGCCACATTATATATTTAAAAGTTTGGCATACGGTATGCCAGAGAGCAGCCAGTGCAAGTACATATCTACAAACATAAATGAGCGTAATACCATCTACGATATGATTATTAACCACACTTGCGTAAATTATAATCAAAATACCATCTACAATATGACTATTAACCGCACTAATACCATCTACAATATGACTACTAACTACGCTAATACCATCTACAATATGACTATTAATCACACTTGCGTAAATTATAATCAAAATACCTTTTACAAGCCGCTACCAACCACACTAATACCCTTGCTTAGCTTATTTATTTAATTACACAATATGCGATATGTTTTATAAGAAAATTTGCAAATTTATTTTTTTTTTAAATTTAATTAATAAACATCGCTAAATCAATCGGGTTTATTGAAGTCGCTTGAACTTTGAGTAAGATTTCATTAGATTGTTTTATTTGTGGCACCTTTAATCTGTCCGAAAATAGTAAATCATCGAAATCTCCATAATTCAAATCATTTATTTGTGTTCTAATAGTCATAAGCCAAGAAGTAGGCTACAGAAATTAATAATCAAGAAAAGATTGTCTTGTTATTAAAAAAAGCGCACTCCGCGTAAAGCCTAAGATCACACTTTGGCACAGACAAGTTCTGCTGGAAGGACTTAAAAGTCAGAAGCATAAACAATACCATATGTTATTTTTAATCTGAATTCTCATTTGAAATGGAAAAACATTTTGAATCCGTATTAAAACAAGCAAGGAAAAGGTGGAACAGGAATTAAGAAAAGCTCATTCCAACTTATTTTAATGTTTGAAATGTTTGTGTAAATCGCGAAGTTCTTCAACGTGTTTATTTGTGTGTGTGTGTAGTTTGTATGAAGAGCAGCACCTATGTCACGACACGTATATGACTGTTGCGTGGAAATTTGCATCTGAAGGCTTTGTTTAGAAAAACCAAACTAAATTTTAATTTTGTCGCTTTCGCTCTCGTAATTTTTTGTTCAAACATGAGCTCAATCGGTTTGTGGGTTTGCCTACACTTTCCGAAACAATCATTGTATGCTACACCACTGGCTGTACACGTTTAGAGAGGTGTTTATTATATCGGTGGAGTTCGCCTGTCCGTCTCCCCATGTAAATTTGTGTTCAACTTACAGATGACCCCCTTTGACCCTTCTCGACGAACGCTAATGAACATTATTCGGATCAGTCCACTTTTTCGATCACTCCCAAAGTAATGCCTTGTTTAAAACGTCGTTATGTGGGAAAAGGTTTGTAATTTTCGAAATTCTTCGACAAAAGTCGCTGAGCAGAAGTACTTCGACATTCCAAATTGGCATGAAAGCACCGTCTTATATAACCGATCCTAAACATATTGAATCTTTATATGAGGAAATTGTCTAATTTTCAATCATTTATAGTGAAAATTGGTTCATGATAGTAAGTTATCGAATGAATCATTTGGGCCACGTAGGCTTATTTTTTGCATAACACGGCATATAAGAATTCTCAAGAGATGTAAACCCTTATGTGCGAGAGAGGCTTTTTTGCCAATGTTTCATGACCAAAATTTGTTCATATTGGCAATTTTACATGAAAATTAAGTGGACCAAATTTTAACCGCATGCGTATATTTCTTGGACCCCAATCCATGTAAGATTTCTCATGAATAGTAAGCCTTTCAGAAAAAGTTCAATTCTTAATAATTGACCTTAGGAAATTAGGATCGGATAGGTCAATTTTTTAGACCCTAATATATATAGGGCTTATCAAGCAAAGCAAGCTCCTTGTATGGAGCGAAATTTTAATCTTTAGTTCTTTATGACGGAAAGTAAAAGGTAAGTGGTAAAATCTTTTCAAAGTAAATAAAGTTCGCTAAATTTGGATCACGCCATAAGATGAGGTTTGGACATCCTTCAATATAAGAGCTGTCATGAAAAGTGTGTCTTCGCATGAAAATAATGTGCAATATTTGATGTATCATTACCAAACCAACGAAAGAATTACTAAAGAATTAAATAATTAAAGAAAGAATTATTAGGCGAGGTGGTGGGGTAGAGTATTTACGCAAATTTCATTAAAGTATGTCAAAAAAAAAAGGCGACTTGTCGCTTGAACACCGGAAAACGGGGCAGACAGGCAAGCTTAGATCGATTCGGAAAGTGATTCGTAAATCGATCTCGGTCTTTTTGATCTTATGTATAAGAGAGTCTGCAGCAATAGTTAGATAGACTTGGATTTATTTTAAGAATATGAGTATGTGCGTTTAGTTGACCATCGCTATGTGTGTGTGC